TGAAAAATTAAAAGATGATGACCCAATACATTTCAATTTCATAAACCCAAAATATCATCACCATCATAATTCATTTGGAGGTTCTACCACCACCACCGTTAGACACGGTGATCAATTTTTTACAAGTCCTTATCCTTCAAATTTTAATGACAATGATAATGTCAATAATTCGGTTATTGGTAGTAGTAGTTCAATCCCATTTATTAATACAAATATTACAACTACAAATGATTCTCTAAAGAAAATTCCTCAAAACTTTCGTCGTCAATCAGATTCTTCAATATCAAAACAATATCAACAAAGACGTTCTCCATCATCCCCTTCTCCACTCTCTTTACGTGGTTTAAATGATCCTATTAAGGTTCCTACTGAAGAAAATGTTCTTCAACAAGAAATGGTACTTGAAAATCCTTTATCGCCTTTATCTCCATCATCCACTATTTTTGATAGAAGACGTAGTAACCATTTTTCCGTCAGAACTCATACTTCAAATACTTCTTCCGATTCTATAACCTTGACTTCCCCTATATCACTTTATAATAATGATAATTCTAATTTTACTAATAATAATTTTAATAATAGTAATCTTGATAGTATTAATGATAATAGTAATAATATTAATCTTGCTCATAATCGTCGTCAATTTCATCATAATTATAGTTATAGTTATAGTATTCCTTCGGTTCGTTCTTATTTTCCTCATAATAGAAGTTATAGTGGTGATGAGATAAATTCGGGAAGAAACAATAACAACAACAATATTAATTGTGTAACAGCAAAGTTATCATCTGATGCTACTACTGGTCATAAAAATAATTCTATTATTTTTGGTGGTTCTACGTCTACTTCTTTACCTACTACTCCAACTATCCCTATAGTTAGTACTTCTTCTTCTTCTTCTAGTACTAGTTTAAATAATGATGGCGGAAATAATAATAATAACAATGTAGGTGGTAATCAAAATTTGAAAGAATGGTTATTGAAAAAACCTATTCCTGCTATTCCTAGACCTCAAAGACTTGATAGTTATAGGGAAAGTATTTAAATTTCTTGTAATTTCTTGTGTGATTACTTTTTTTTTCTACTGTACCTTTTTTTTTATCCACTTTGTGATTCAAATTCAATTCGAATTTTTTTATAATGATGATGAACATTTTTTTTTTTTTACAATTATTGAAATTATAGATACAACATATTTTTTTTTTCTTCTTTTCATTGAATATTTGTTGTTCTTTATATATATATATATTATATATATTTGTAAATTAGAACTGAAAAAAATTTCATCTTACACATTCATACACGTGTATTATAGCCCTTATTGCAAACTTATTAAAAAAAATGAATATATTTGAAATGGTTGTACCATTTCTTTTTTTTATATTTATATAAACATTTTTATGTTTGGTCTGTGTTTGATTGTTTCGAAGCGTAGTAAGGAACTAGTCAGTTCAGTGAATGCACGATCATGCAATGTTCGATAATAACACGTATGACGTAATACCAGTGCGGTGCGGTGCGGTGGCAATTTTTGAATGTGCTAGGTTTGTGGCGCAGTCAAATTCTTTAAAGTTCGTTTATGTTAAAGTTTGTACTTTTATTATGGTTAGAGATTAGGAGGACATATAGTAAAATTACTCAAGGAAACCTTTTTGTTAGTGCGCGAAGAGTAGTTTTATATGCAATTTTTTAAGAAATAAGCGATTTTTGACAAAACGGACGTTCGTTTTGAATTTTCCTGTTCGTGTTAGATCTTGAAATTTGATTCGTAGTTTAGGCAATCTGCCTGGCACACATTCAAGAATTGCGTGTGGGATGTGATTGTATAAAAGATAATACGTAACAGGTAACACGTACGTACTGGTTAGAGATTGGATCCGGTTTTATTTATAACACCCAATTTTAATTTCTTGATTTCTTGATTTCTTGTTCAAAATTAGATTCGACTTTATATAAATTTTAAAGAATCAGTAAAAAAAAAATGCCTAGAATTTATGAAAAACCGAATATAAAAATTCGAATTTGCGCATTATCGATTCGTTTCTAGTGTCACACGCATGATTATTACTGACAAAACCATTTGAATTTTATTATGCTTGGATTTTGAGGATTTGAACTTAAAGTTTGGGCGGTATATACAGTCATGATTAAAATTCAGAATTAAATAATATATTTTATTCTAACCAAATGATAAAGTATTTCCTTGTATAGACCAGGAAAGATCAGGAACTAAATTTCATGGTGCTTATTTTACTCGTACGTTACGTACTATTACACCCGAAACTACCTCTTATAAGTTCGGTATAACGGGTCTACTTTAGCGACGGATATGTTAGATGATTGATATCGAGTACCGTTTTATGCTAAGTAAAGTATAGGGTTTATTGCAGTTACGCTTTTAAGAGGATTAAGGTGATTGCAGTTACGAAAGAGGCAAACGGCTAAATGTATATGAAGTTACAAGTAGTCGTATTAACAAGTTTATTATTATACTCAAGTTATTCGTGTATGGAGACACTATAACAGGGTTATGGTTTATTCGAGTTATCCGCGTATAAAGACACGATTACTCTTTAGGGAATTGTTATTTATATGATTTATTCAATAAAGTATTCGAGTTGTTCGTGTATGAAGACACGATTACTCTTTAGGGAATTGTTATTTGTATGATTAATTCAATAAAGTATTCGAGTTGTTCGTGTATGAAGACACAATTACTCTTTATTTATCGTTAAGTTGTTGGAACTTTGAGTTCTGTCCTTTTCAAGAGAAATATTTTATAATTACATTTTTGCTTGAACCACTAGATCTATAAAAACTATTAGCACTGCTAGTGTTACTAGTGTTACTAATACTATTAGTGCTATTACGGATAGATTAGCGGAGAAACAAAAATTCAGCAGATCGGCCCGAATTATGGGTCGGAATGCATCGGCATTGATTAATTTTGCCCCCAAGATCACTCAAAATTTTACTAATGAAACCATAGCCCACTCACTAAGTAAAGCTGCCCAGATGATCATTTTGGTGTAATACAACCGGGTTTAAATCACCACCCAAAAAAACTTCAGTTATCCTAACTGGCCAATCAAAATTTAAGATCAGGTGTAACGTAACACGATCAAGAAAACTCAAAACAACGTTCGTTTTGTTACAAATCGTTCATATATCAAAATCTAGTCTATGAAACCGCCTTCTGCGTACTAATAAAACATTTTCCTTTCAAAATTTTGATATAAGAAACACTATCAAGTCAAAACTTAATACAAATTACAGACTCTAATCCAATATCGTAAATTTTTACTCTGAAATTTTTTTGGGTGGTGATTTAACCCCGGTTGTGTAATACAGTTAGTTGTTGTTATTTCTTAATGCCGGCCTAAATCCGACCCATAATTCGGGCCGATCTGCTGAATTTTTGTTTCTCAGCTAATCTATCCTGCTATTACAGCATCCCTTGTATTGGTGTTACATTGTGGTTAATTTGTTACATGATACTAATTATGGGGTTAACATTTCTTTCTTCTAATTTTTGAGCTCTAGTGAAAATCTTTTTAAGTAAATAATATAAGATAATAATAAATATTACTAATTAAAATTTTGTAAAAGTTACTACAGGTTAGCATATAATTATAACCCAGGTGGCAGAGTTTATTTTCTACTTGCCAGATTTGAATATACAACTTTACCTTTTTTTTTTATTTCAGCGATCCTTTCTTTATTTTTTTTATCGGCAGTACCTTACAACAAGATATCTTAGTTAGCTAAATCTACATTATCTATAAGAAATACTTCATGTTTGTTACAAATAAAGAATCTCTCGATCCATCTCATTATCACAGTAAAAATAAAGTAAACCCAAATTTATGCTAGAGTATGACCCAGGAGTGACCGCCTAAGTAAATATTTTCCTTCTTCCAGAATCCTCAACTTACTGAGGATATGAGCTCTGGAGATCAAAAGATGGTTTTCACTAATCTTGTTAAAATCACCGCTCTACAATAAAGTGTTGCCAATCTGATGACACTTTCTCGTAGAGAAGTAAAAAGAAAAAAAAAAAGATAAGTATAGAGCAAAAAAGAAGTAAATAAAAAAAAACAAATAAACAAAGAAAACGACCAAATTATAAAAGAATTAAAAGATTATTCTAAAATCTAAGAGAACTTGTCTACAGATATAAAAACCCGCTAACTAGGTAAAAAACTATCTATATAGTCATAGAAATCTATATATAAAGCTATTTGACAAAAAAAACTACAATGCATTTTAGTCTGTACTAAGGATTAAAAATTATATGCAAACTATAATGCATTTTAGTCTGTGCTAAGAACTAAAAATTATATGCTTACAACTTTGAAATAATGCATATCTTATATTACTACTCTAGTTGCCAACTTTCGTATTAAATCTAATATGGGTCTTAGAGTAACCGATATTAAAGCCTCGATACATGATCATTGATTTTATTTTCAGCCTCAAAACTTCCTCCTTACACATATTTGTTGTTTTCCTTATTCATCATAACGCAACTTAAGACTTTTCAAGAATGGAAGTGGTAAACAATATTGATCTTTGCTAATCTTTTGGAGAGGAGTAGCACGACTCTGGATAATTATATTTGATCTGGTATGTATAAAATGAGATAAATTTTAAAAGAAATTTTTAGGTGGTATGTAAAAAATGAGTTTTTTGAAAAAATGTGGGGGTAAAATGAGGTAAATAAAAAAATAGTGGTAGGATTTTTTATAGATAAATTTTTACAATTTTTAAGGTAGTATAATGTAATTGAAGTAAATTATTATACTTAAAGATGTGATCCAGATATCCACTAGATTAATTTTATAACAAATTTATTATAAAGAATCTAAATATTCGGATATCGTTAAATTTTAAATATGAAAATAAATAATGAATCATATCTCTATGCCAAGAAAAAAGAGTATCTAAGTGATTTAAATATATTACTGATTAATTATAGATTTTTAAACTATATATAATTTATACTAGATTTATGCTAAATTTATATATCAATAGATATTTTATATTAATATTATTGAAATTCTGATTTGTATTATTGCTAAACTCAATAATTAATCAGTAATATACTTAAATTACTAAGATGTCCTTTTTTCTTAGAGATACTCAAATAGTATAGACAAACTTGTAACAATTCTAGTAAACTTTAGAAAGTTTTAGTTACATTAGCAATAATTTTAATTAGATTTTGAGAAGCCTGTTAATAGCGATCATATTGTAAGATCAAATGACTTCATGATCTTTATATGTATGGATTTCGGGTTAACTGTTTGTGGGGTCAGGTTCTTTGAATTATTTTTGTAATCGCATATGATTATGAAAACAGTAGTAGTATTAATACATAATTGAGTAATGATAAAGAAGTTCAGGAGTAAGTTCATATAGTTTGGGTGTGAAATTAGAAAATTGGTAGCTTTCCTGTTAGTAAAGGGTATTTAAGACTTGAGTTGTTGTTAAAGAAAATTATCTTTTTTTCACTATTGCTTACCTTGTAGAAAGGCTAGCTCTATCATTCCCACCTATTCTCACCTATCATATAGGAGTGTTGCTAAGGTATATAAATTTATCAGCCTTAACAAACAATGATCCTAGCAGTTATTATGATTTATAAATTTAAATTTTATATTTACCTGGTCAGGTTATAAGAAACAAAATTTTTTTTTTGTATAGTTTAATCTGGTATGTAAAAGTTTAGGTAAATTTTAAATTTTTACATGTAATATGTATAAAAGTGGGTATAAAATCTAAAAATTTTTGAAGTAAATTTTGTGAATCTTATCATTTTATTTTCCCCCACATTACATATAATTGTCTGGGGTCCTGAGGTAGCCAAATCCTACACTTTTTAATGAAAATTATGAAAAAAAAGGATAGCAGGAAAAAAGTATAGTTTTGCGAGTTTTCTAACCAAGGAGTATTATTCCAAGAGTTCTTTATAGCCTTCTGTTCTCAATATAACTTGAGTCTTTTTTCTGCTTACTGTTCTTAGAGACTTCTCCAGTTTGGATG